CTTCTTTTCTCATCAAAAACAATACATTCAGAAAGTGATGCTCTTTCAAACTTCCATTGCTTAATTTTTAGATGAATCTCCCTGTTTCTAGCAATGAGTCACTACTGAATCCCTCCTAAATTGCGATGGGCAAGCACGTTAACCTCTATTAAATAACATTCAGGCGACGTAATGCTGGTGATACATATTGCTACTCATCTCCTTTCTTGTTTTAGCTAACAGATTAAACCAAAACATCAATAAATTCTTTTGTGCAATAGTGTCGGAAAGATTCTGCAGGAGAATGTGCACTGCGTGATTTTCTAGTGTTCTGCTTGGAGACATAACAGATTTAGCAAACTGAAAATCATCTCTGATTTCTGTTAAGACTGTTTTTTGGTTCTATGTACATTCCTCCCGGGGCGGTGGGTGGAGAAAAGCAGCACTGCCTGTACGTACATGTTGCACGCGTGTGAGAGCAACACAACAAATCTGCTCTCAGGAATGCAAGGAGAAATCTGCCACTAATTGGACGTGGGAACTGAATTTTGGCTAGCGTTTTATATTCAAGCCAGTAATAATCGCAGTCGAACACTGCATCCTCCGTACCCCTGTGCCTGGGACTTGGTCACGGTGACCCACATGTACCAAACAGGACAATCTTTGCCTCTTGACCCAGAATGCTGCTCTACCCTAGACTGCAGAACTACTTGATGAACTACTTACTGCACATGCAGAAGCTGCTAATGCATTTTACACCGTGTAACTTATAAAAGGGCTCATCTCACATGACTGTTCTTCTCCTTCATTCCTCAAGAAATCTGTGAAAGCCATGTTCTGAGGATTTGCTGCTTGATCCTGGACTCCAGATGCAACACTTAAACTGAAACACGTACTGATATATTCAAAACACAGTGGTGGCATACATTTCTTGCTACTTAATATAGACTACATATCTTCTGCCACTCAGCTGCTTACGCTATCCTCAAGCAAGTTGCCAATGTTCAACTAGTTAGGGCCTTTGTACCAAAATCACCAAATGTGCAAATAATTTCTGATCTAGTGGTTTGATTAAAATAGCACTGCCAAGCTGTTGGTGGGATGCATCTAAATTACTGACTAAATTCACACTTTAGGCATTTTACTCCTCCTACACTGATAAAAAATGTCAGCGATGGAAGAATCTGAAGTTCTGTATGACAGGACCCTGGTAGGAGTAGCTGCTTTTGCTGCTGTCATTGATTTATACTACGAAGCTAAAAGCTTTGCCTAGCCTGGCTATTTCACCCTGATTACAGAAGATGCTGGGGATTTTAAAGAAGCCCTGGGCAGCCCTGTGTGTCAGAAGAGGGAGATCATATTTTCCATCACTCCGGATTATTCTTCCTCTCCTTAATTAATTCTCACTGCCCCTCCTGCATTGCCAGGACGAGTAACCCCAAAGGGACAGGCAACAAGCCCCAGCACGGTACAGCAATTGGCAGTATTCTGCCTTGAAGTGAGTAAAGCGTAACACCGCTATACCCATTTGCTTTGCCAAATGTATAAGGGAAAACGATGTCTGCTCTGAGCCCCCTTAAGAAGGGAAGTAACACTGCTTGGCTAGAGCTACTGGTGTTTCTTGCCCTAGTCAAGTTTAATTTAGTATAGCTCTGCCAGTCTGTCTCGTGAATGCTCCAATTTGCCACCATTTGCATTTCCCTGACATTTAATTAAAGTCTGTTAAACATTATTTGACGCTTCATTTTTCAGTTAAGGCAACATCTTAAGCGGTTTTGTTGAAGAAGAAAGGCCTTTTGACAACTCGACAGCTGCGCACGGGATCAGGAGAAAAGTGTCTTGCGTTCTACCACCAGAAAGCAGAGTAGCAAGCGCTTTGTAACCAGGTACAGACAACTCGGAGGTGAGTCCCTCCTCTCAGTTCTTGGCAGTAGTGGTCAGTAGGTGATGCGCCGTGCCGTTTTGCTCCTCGTGCTAGTTTTCCCCAGAGTAATCCACTCCATACTGCCCTGGGCAGAATCTCCCACGTCCCCCAGATGCACATCTTCTCGTTGTGCCAAGAAGCAGTATATGGAGCCAATTTGTAAAAATCCAGTGGTTTGGAATAACTGTTTCTGTTCCAGGAGTTTTGGAAAACCATTCAGTAACATTCGTATTGTTTTTTTTCCTGCTGGTGAACTGAGCACCACATAGCAGACCAGCAGTACCAGTGTCTGATCTTGTAAAAGATCCAAAAATTCTGTTAGAAACATTTATAAAAATACAGGCTGTAGAAAGGAATTTGACTGTACAATGTGTACAGCTCTCAAGTTCATCCCAGAGTGGCTTCTTACCATGCTACCATTTGAAAATGAAAGGAATGCATCTCTATTTCTTCCGTCCAGGAAGATCCCGCTCCATCCCAACATGCATCTGAGTGCAGGCTGCGGGCCTCAGTTATGAGGTGGAAATGGGCAAGAGAAGACCAAAACTACCGTCCGATAGGCTTTGCGGTTTCAGCCCCCATACGGAAAAGGAAGGGTGTGCTTACTGATGCGTCGCAGTCGCTGTTCGCTACGAGCAGGAGTCCATTCTTGCAGCAGCCAGGTGGTTCACCGAGAGTCTGGCTTGCCTCGCCGCAAGAAGAAATTCCCCATGGTCATGCCGAGGCTTCAATGTATTCGCTTTTTGGTGCTGCTACCCTTAAATACTCTGGGTTCTCTGCCGCAGGAACTTTCAAGAGACCGTTAGGTTTGGTTTCCTTCGGTAAGAAGTCCTGCTGGTAGTCAGGATTGTCCAGATTTATTTGGTGGTTGCCTGCCTGGATCCAGTAAGGAGAGCTCTCGAAGACTGTCTTGGCCAGCGGAGACTGGTTGGTGTTGAGATACTCGGGGTTGTCCACCGCTGTGCTGTGTGAATTCTGGTAGCTGGAGTCCGTGGGGACCTTTGAGTTTGCTGTGAGTGAGAAGTTGTTGTAGATTGGATTCTGGACCGCTGAGGCAGATGCTTTCTTGGGCACCAACTGGTTTACGTACTCTGGAATAAAAGAGAAAAAATAATAAGACTGAGAAGGAATGAAAATGAGGACAATAACTAAATGCAGCCATTTGCATCACTCGGGGTGCAGTTTCAACCCAGCAGCCAGTTGCCCTTCGCACGCAGCACCTCGCTGAACTTGCCAGAGCAGGAGAGAGCCAAAGGCAGGGAATGCCACACTGTGGCACCAAACACGCTGCCCTGAAGTTCACCTTCGGGAATTCAGTTTGCAAGGAGCAGCAGGATGGCTTGGACCACGAGACAGAGAGATAGCTACTGCTGATTTTAGTGACGTGGGGGTGGCTATGTCCCAGATACTGAAACTGCACTCCGGGAGCTTTGCTGCCAGAAGCTGTTTCCCTAGAAAAATGTTTAGAGGTGAGAAAAGTGCCTAGAAAATACTCCTCAGCTCACTGAAATGTCATTCCTTGCAAGGTCTTTCCCCCTTTTTAGCTTGGGGTGTATTCTTGGAAGGGTTGGTTGGGTTTTGTTAAGGACACAAAGCACCACGGCTGCATAACCCAGCACCAGCTCCCCCGGCGCTCGCTGGCTTGCTCTCCGACCGCCTACGCTCTAAGTCCACGTGAAGCCAGGAGCTGCCTTCTGTGTACCAACATCTGAAAGCAGTGAAACTGCCAGAAGGCTGTCTGTATTGCTGACATGGTTTAAGGGGTGAAACCCGGCTTTCAGAGGATATTTTCCAAAGTGCAGGGCTAGTAGAAAGCTTTAAGCGTATAACCGCTCATGCAAACTCCCCAGCCTGCTGGCACACATGGCAAACGTGAGGAACCTGGCTGACAAAGGAACTGAAATGAGAAACGGTGGCCAGAAGCAGCCAGAGACAGTCTAGGAAAAGGATATGCGCAAGCATTTTCACTCCCATATACTGACCAAAAAAAGGTAGGAAGCATTTGGATTACTTCCTTTCCACAGAAAAGGAAGGACAACTATTATATTCACAACCAAATGGCTTGTGAACGAGTGGCTGTAGAATGGGAACACGGGAGAGGTACTCACCCGGGGCTGGCAGGAAGCCGTCATCTATGCTGTCCTCCAAGAACGCGCCCGTTGGGTCTGAGCTATACCTCTGGACAAAGCTGTCCTCCCTCACAGGGTGCCCCTGCTAGGTTTGAAGTAGAGAAAATAAATATTAAAGTGACCGTTTTGTAGAAGTTGATCCACACAGGAGAAGTTGCTCCATTTTTAAAGGTCATCTCACTTACCCCGTTCCTGTCAATACAGGTTGTAGCAGAATTGTTGCTAGTAGCACTCTTTTAAAAAGAGAGAGAAAGAAAATACAGACATTATGAGAAGCAGCTCACTCTTAAAACTGCTTGTCACGCTTCCACAGCGGACACGTTACGTACCAGTGAACTCAAGAGAGGGGTGCGGGATGTGGAGGGGCTGTTGAAGAAGCCCTGGTGTGGCACGAGATACTCATCCGCGTCCACTATATCTTCCATGTCCTCCTCCTCCATCAGGGTGCGATAAAACTTGGAGTCCGTAGGGCTGGGCAGGTGCATCCTATCGTCTCCCTGTGGGACAAGTCAGTGTGAGAGAGGACTCGCAGACTCCCCTCAAGCCCTCGTTATCCTCTTCTCTGAGAGACAAAGTAATGTAGCACGAGGTCCGAGATGTAAAATCTTGATCTCTGTGTTTAACCAAACCTACCTAGAGCTTAAGGGAATTTGGGCCTGCAATCCCTGCCTATGCTGCTGTAAAATATCTGTGTTTTGAAGAGGATCAAACTCTGTTCTCCTCTCAGGACTGCAATATGGACTGTTACTGGTCCTAGACTGGGACCAGTGCTAAGAAAATAGTGACTGGTCTTGAAATTCTCTTTGTGGTTCTAGCTGAATGTGTTAAGACCTGCAAAGCAACGGTAAATCTGGCCTTAAATTATCCATATTACGTGTTTTCATATGCATTATTAATAATCTTGGGCCTCGTGTTGAATGCCCATCAGACAGCTTCCTGCCATCGGGTTTAGTACCTGTATAACGAGATAGCGTGGGGGGTCGCGGGCCATCTTCGAGAACTCCGCTATCAGTTCGCGAAACTTGGGACGGCTGTCGGCATCGATCATCCAGCCTGGAGGGACAACAGGGAAAGCAATGCACAAATAACGTCGTTACGGCGCTCAGCCACAGAGCTTAAAACAAAATGAAACAGTGAAAAGAACAGCACCTTACGTGCTGTTAAGGATTTACCCAGAAGGGACCACCACAAAACGTCCATTCACCAGCCACCGCTGTGAATTTCAGCGTTTAAAATGCACATCTTGGCAGTTCTGGGAGGAATGAAGGAGGTAATAAACCCCCACGTTGGAAAAACACCGGGCTGAGCCGAACTCCTCTCCTGCTGGGCTCTCTCTGCCTGGGCAGGCAGGTCCCACCTGAGCGCTAAGAACGCATCAGTCCTGAGGATGCCAAACGGGCGCTCTGACGAAGAGGGGAAGCGAACTACCTTCAGTGGGTGCCTGCAGACATACCGTGATCCAACCATTTGTGAAATCCTGGGAAGCCTAAAGCAGAAGCTGCCCCCTGTACCAGATGCCTTCTAAAATCCGAAACATCCTCGCTGGGGATGTTTTGAAAGATTAACCATATCTAAGGTGTACTTAATTACCAAACGGGCTTGAACAAAACCAAGTCCTAGAGCTTCGTGTGGGTCAGTGCTAGGAGAGATTTCAAATACAGATACTGGTGGTTTAACAGGTGAGATCACTTAGGAAAACCACGCTTTCTGTTATCAACTGACAGATGAGCTGAGGTAGACTCTTGCATTTAAAATTAAAAATCATCAAGGTCAATCTCAGTGTGTCTGAAGGAACTCCTAAGAAGCAGCCTATTCATAGTAATGGAGAAATTAAGTGATGATATAGCATCTGAAACCTGCACTAGACAAAATCTCATCGTTGCAGCTGACTTTTTACGATGAGCCCTCCTAATTCAAGGAGAAATCCTTTTTGCCTTCAGACAGTGGAACATTTGGGAGCTTGCTGCCGTTGCAGAAGTAGCATTTACAATTTCTGAATTTATCTCTGAGTTGCAGAGGTTTAAATAACACTTCTTAAATAAATAAAAAAAAAAATCGTGCGATAACTTTGAACATTTAAGTTTATACTCTGCTTGTAAAAGAGATGACTGGGAATCCTGAATTCCTTTAGTTTTTCAGGACCTGTGCTGTAGCCTGCACACAGGGGGTTACCCGAGCAGTGAAAGGTGGGCACACTGTCCTGGGGCAGAAGGAAGGCACAAACCCCAGATCCTCGTGCACTTGCATTTAAATTCAGTGTGACGGTCTGACAGGGGAAGGTGACACTCCACGGGTGGTGCTTTAAAAGCAACAGGTACCCGACTACATGCCTGGCAAAATGCCTGCTTTCTACATCTGGACTCCCCAAAGGATGGATGGAGCTGCTGAGCTTTGCGAAGGCTCAGCCCCTGAGGACACACTGTAGTGCAGAGTTTTTGGAGACCCGGGACGTGACTGCTGCCATCAGAGATGTTGGCAGGGCTGAGGTGTCAGTAGGGTTCAGCACCACCGAGGAGGAGTTTCCAGGACACCGCTTTTGGGTCTGGGCACCTCCTAGGCTAGGTGCACACATCTGGATCCTGTTCCTGCTTGCTCTGCTGAGCACAGGATCGGGCTCAGGATCGGGCTCACCTGTGTGGTGCCTGTGCTGACAAAGTAACACTGGGGCACTCCAGGATGCCCCAAAAGTGCTGTACTGTGGGATGTTCATGGCAGTGTGGCTCCTGCTTCGGGAACAGGTACATCTTGCTTCAGTGAGAAGGTCTTAAATGCCACCTAGTGGGCTGCTTCTCAGCATCCTCACGGGCACTACTGAGCAGGGATGCAGCACTCATGGTCTAGGGATGCACGGGGAACCAGGTAATATCTGACATTTTAGCAGCTGATAGAGGTGGAAAAAGGGGTTTGGGGTCCAGAAGCCCTTTGATGTGCCCTAACAATGACCACAAAGTGCTTCAGAGACCCCCAGCTCCTGTGCTGCTTTACACCAACGGCTGTGTGCCGAAAAGGAGCCATCCAAAAATGAGGAAATTGGATAGGGAACTCCGGATCTTCATGTGCACCTTCCGTCACAGGGGTGCTTGTGCTCACAGCACATAATCCATGTGTGTGACTGCAGGGGGAGGCATATTACTGAGCTAAGAGCCTGGAGGAGAAGGCAATGTTAATCTTATTTTCTAGACATACAAAACCAGAGTATCAGGTAAAGTGGGTGGTGTTATGCCCATTTATTCTGCCTGACAAGATCAGTTTAAAATAACTGACAGTGTCAGCCAGGTGAGGACCCATAACCCCAAATGTGAACTCACATTTGACCATGATCATGTACACATCGATGGTACAGATGGGGGGCTGGGGCAAACGTTCACCCTTCTCCAAGACAGAGGAAATTTCACTGGCGGGGATCCCGTCGTATGGCTTGGACCCAAATGTCATCAGCTCCCAAACCGTCACACCTGCAGGGAGGGAAGAGAAGAACATGAGAGAGGCTTTGCCAAGAGTCGGGGTGCTTGGCCTGGGTGCAGAGAGGTGGTGGGTGAGTGGAGAGGGCTTTCCCAGAGGCACCACACTGCCAGAGCCCCACCCAGGAAAAGCATTTTCTGCCATGATTTTAAAGAGAGACAGATTAATGAAATAGGTTGAAATCATCCTGATTTCCTTTTTGCGTTGTTTTGGAGGTAGTTTTGGTGTTGGGTTTTTTTTGTGGCTGTTGTTTTTTTTAAATCTCAGCTAATATCTCGGTGTTGAACTTTGCACAAACTTCCCAGCACCACAGACAGTGAAGGCAGGTTACCCCCTCCTGACTCCAAACCAGCATGTGGTTTTAGAAATGGAAGCTGTTTTTTGTTTGAAAACAATCTCTTTGGAGACGAGCGAGAGCAGTTTTTGAAAGACGTGTTAAGCAGCTGCCTCCGTGTTGTTTGCTGACATACCACACACTCTTGTGATGTAGCTGTTGTGATTGCCTGGTAGCTTAGGATACAAAACAAGATTTTGGATGCCAAGATACAAAAATGGATTAAGAGGACCAGAGGCTGTACTTTTTCTAAAAGGACACAGGATCTGAGCATCTGCATATTTTCCAGGAATATGAGAGCCCACGGAGAGGAAATTTTGGAAGAAATTGCTTTGGAAAGTTTCCTTTCTGCTCCTCTTTCTTGCAAGCTGACTTACAAGCTACACCAAATATAAAATGAATTCTCTAAGGAGGTTTGCTTCCCTTTTAGCGTTGTCCTCTCAGTACAGCACGAACATTTTAGGACACAGCAGAGTTACACCGATTGACACGGACCAACAGCGTGGCTGATGGTTTTACGTCCCTGCTGTAGTTATGTGCCTTTATAGTCAGCCCAGTTCTATTTCACGTGAAGCTGCTGAAGAAAAACATCAGCAGAACTTCAGCAAATGGAGCAGAGCCTCCGACCCGCAGCCTCTTTCGGCGGAGGGCTCATCATCTGAGAGCATACTCTGCAAAACATCTTATACTTCACTAGCATGCAATTTCATGGGAATTTCACTTTATTCAATAGGTGATTTGGGCCCAATCCTTATGTTTAATCTCTCAGCCTTCTCATAATATGAATCAAAAACATCTGTGTAGAGCCACTAGCAAATCCTGCAATTTTCCAACCCATTTGCAATAATTATAACTGGTTTTAGACTCACCGTAACTCCAGACATCACTTTGATGCGTGTAAATCCGGTGTAAAATTGACTCCAAGGCCATCCATTTAATCGGAACCTAGGAAAATCACAAATAAGCCTTAAGAGGCTGACCCAATATTTATCAGGAATATTTACCACCAGGTGGTGTTTAAACCAACAGTTTGGTTGCAGAAGGAAAAAAAAAACCCCAACAAACAACACAACTATCCCAGTGGTACAGCAGGCAACTTTGGAGCCTCTTATTATTCTCATTTATTCTGTTGAACTGGAGAACTTTTGAAATATTAGGCATATTAGAAAGATCTCGTACAAATCCATTTTACAATATTTTTAACAGTCAAATTACAATTTTTTTAACCTTCTGTTGTCATAGCAGGGCACGAATCTGACCTCAGGCTGTACGACAAAGACTGATCTGTGCTCACATGGTTTCCATTTATGGCCTCTGCAATATTTCCAAGCAGTTTCTCTTTAATTTCTCAGCAGGACACATTCCCTCCATCAGCACGTAGTACAACACGAAGGCGTGTTGAATCAAGTCTGACAGGTCTTTCTTCTGCTATAAATATACAGCATTCCCTTTCTCTTCATAAACTGCACAGTGTTATTGCTGTTGGCTACACTGATGAATTCAGCCATGCTGCTTTTTTTTTTTTTAATGTGTTTTTTTTTTCAATACTCTTGCTTTTTCCCAGACGTTCTGGGTGGGAATTTCAAAAGCATTCGCCGCTCTGCTACCTCCGCTCCCACTGCGGTCCCACTGGCCTGACGCTGCTTCGGCTGATTTCAGAGGACTCCCACAGGCTTCAAAGGCAGCACGCTGAGACGGCAGCTGAGTGCTTTGAAAAGCCCACTCTCTGTCTTTTTTCCCTGTGTTTTAAGGCGCGTGCGCAAGCACCGACGCTGCCGAACGCGAAGCGGTTCGTTTCTCCGCTGCGCCTTACCTTGCCCCCCTCGGCGTGATACTCCTTCTCGTCGGCGCCCAGCAGCTTTGCCAGCCCAAAGTCTGTGATTTTCACGTGCTGAGGAGTCTTAACGAGGACGTTCCTGGCAGCGAGGTCACGGTGCACCAGGCGACGCTCCTCCAGGTAGTTCATTCCCTGCAATACGACAAACCATGGGTAGGCATCAACGCTTCGGGCCTGGACCAAACGTCAGCCGCTCTGCACGTGGTAACCTTCAGAAAAAGGTTTGCTGTTTCGATCTACGTGATGCTTGTTGCAGGCTGAGGATGTGTGCTCGCACGGCTGCAAGGAGAATTAACTGTTACCCTCCAGGAACCTTCCTGTGGGTCCATGTGCTAGTGGAGTCATGGAGAGGAATAGCAACCTGGTATAGCAGGGGATGCGGTTGCTTTGAGATTCAGCTCAAAAAACAGAAAATTGAGATAAGACTTGCAAACAAGAGGGCAAATCCTTCTTTCAGCTTCATTTGTGCAAGCCCAGTGACTTCAGGAGAGCACAGTGCAGCATGTCACTGTCACCTTCCAGACACACACGGGCCAACCCTAACAGAGACTATGTAGGCACTCCCGGCCTGGAAGCCAGCAAAACTAAGTGAATCCCTCAAAAGTTACAGATTGTGCGTCAGGACAGCCTACCCTGCCTGCTCCCTGCGAGCGACGCGGCATCCCACCGCAAAGGGGAGAAAAGGAAATAAAACTTAAAGATTCATTTTCTGGCTGAGCTCAGAGTTGCATCTGTTTGCAACTCCTCTTTGAAAGGGCAAGTTCTTCCAGTTTCACTGCCTCCCGTGTTTAGGCTGGGTTCGCCATAGCATATGTGCTTTTTTTGGTACAGCTGCCTTTTGTGGAAGAATAGGACTAATTGTGCCGGTCTGACTTTTAAGGTAGGAATCTAACAGCTGCGTTTCTGACCACGGAGATTATTCCCCTTTCCCTCAAGTCCAATCTCTTGGCGTGTGGAATCAAGAAGTTCATGATTTCTAAGTTTCCTGCAAGATCCTTTCTAAAAACCACAATTATTCCCAGTTGATGGGTTTCTGCTGGCAGCAGCTTACACGCCTGTATTTTTATGAGGAGAGAATTAATAAAAAAGTACTTCTAACCTACAAAGTTAACACCAAAACGATGCTGTTGATGTGATGACAGAGGGAATAATTCCCTTCCAGCCTCCACCCCCTTCCTAAAGCCCACTGCTAACCTGGACCACCATCGAATCCTCCACCCAAGTCCCTCAGCAGAACTTCACCCATGCGCTGCTGATGTTGCCAAAACAAACCACCCCAACAAACTGGCACGCTGCCACTACGAGCGTGCATTTAATTACACAAATAGACCTTTAGTGCGCAGGGCTCCTGAAACGAGAAATCTTGAGCTGAGAAGCAGCAGCAGACTACCTTTAAAACGATGGTGATCACTTAATCTAGTGCCAATAGGACACAAAATTTCCTGCTAACCATATCTTGCTGCAGGGACTTCTTAGACTCAAAGCTGCTGAAAGGCAGAGTATCAGTTTCACACTAAGCTGTTTAAGACATTGATAGCTAAAAGACTTGTGCACGTGCATAGCCATACACCGAAGACGTTGAACTGCTCATCTAGAAAGTTCAGCTGATCTAGAATTGTGTGCAGGCCTGGGACTTAAGCCATTTTTCATCATTAAGTATGAGACCAATGTGTTCAAAGAACTACTTCACAGTGTTTCTGCATGTGGAGTGTCTATGGTCTGTGGTAACATTCTGTCTGAAAGACAGAACTCCATACCTCAGAGAAAGGTAATGTTTATAGATGCAAAGAAAACTTAATTCAAAGCTGTGAAAACAGAAACAAAAATAAGCTGCCCTGGAAAGTGCCTCCTGCTGGTTAGTTACCAGATGTAAGTATATTTGTTTCAACTCCCCCCCCAGCACATTTTTTTTAAAGAGTCAGAGAATGTCCAACAGTAGTAACATCAGATATGCTGGTGGGAAAAAGCCGTACACATGATTTACGAGCACTCTGAGGAGAACTTCAGTGCGGGGCAGCACAAAGGAATACGCTGAAAGTCAGGCATCGCTGGAGAGGGTAGAGGTTGCCACGGGCAAATGTTGAGCTGGCATGAAAAAAAAAAAATCAAACAGAAGCTAACAATTGTGAATGGCAACCTTTCCAGCCAGTGGTGCCCCAAGGATCAATCTGGGGACTGATTTTGCCACTTTAAAAATTAACGAGGAGGAGAAGGAGGGAAATGTGGCCTCCAGCTCATCCTCCAAAGGGACTGAAACCAGGACGGAGCAGTAATTGATTTTAAACAAGAGAGCAAAAGAGTCAAAAAAAGGCAGTTGATATCCTGCTTGGATGCATAAATTAAAATTCACATGCCGTGGAGCACGCTGTAAAAAAGTACACACACAGAGATGAAAAATGTGCTATGTGTGCTTTTGGTGGATACATTTCTGAGGTCCTCAGCACGTTTCGTGAAAGCAAACCATGGCCGGGCGAGCCTGGGATGTATACAAGGTCTCGAGGGGCCAATAAGGCTCTAAGTGTGTGGTTAGCTTGCAGAGCGTCATTCCTGAAATAAGCAGCATTAAAGCAGCTGGGCTTTGCGGACACTGCCATCTCATACAACACAGCTCCAATAAGCTGCAGCTATTTTTTTGCTGGTTTTGCTCTGTTCTTCCATGCTTGCAAATGACTAAGCACCGCCAAGGGCTAGAGGCTGTGTGTGCTTCAGTCTCCTTTGCTGCTCTTCCCTTTGGCAAAGAGTGCCAGGTGTCATAATGAGTCTTTTATCTGGCACTATGGCCATTGCAATTAGATTACAGGCACCAATTCAGGGCATATGAATTACAGACCAGCCCTAGGATGCCCGAGTGTCTTTTGGTCACAGCCAGTCTGCGCTAGAATGGAGCTGGTATTTATTAATCAGCAGTTTTGTTCTCCAGGCCTCAGAGATTTCAGCCTGAAAAATCAGGATCATTCCTCAAGGTGCACAAGGACATCGTTACCGTTGGCCCCGTGGCAAAGCCCAAAGAAATCCACTGATGGAAGCTGCACTTTTGGTATGGCAATTGTCAAATTCTACTCCCCTCCCTGCCACAGCTTCGTTGCATCACCTTATTGTTTCATTACAGGGTGTTTGGTTCAGACATAAATGACTTGGTGACAGTATTACGCTGTCTAGGAGCATTTTGAAGAATAATTAAGGTTTGCACAACGGCTTGAAAATGGTAAATTGTTTAAGACAAGGTAATTGCTTACTGTCAAGTATAAGGTATTTAGGAACGATGTGGTGACATATAAAGATTTGCAGAGACAAGTAAGTAAATAAATACATTACGCGCTGCCAGATCTCCGTGTTAGTCTGAGTTTTAGCTGATCTGGTGGCGTGCTGGTTCGCGTACCTTGGCAATCTGTACACACCAGTTGAGAAGGTACTGGGAGCCGATGTTGTCCTTGTGCTCTCGGATGTAATCCAGGAGGCAGCCGTAAGGCATCAGCTGTGTGATGAGCTGAACGGTAGACGTGAGGCAGATTCCCAACAAGCGGCACACATGAGGATTGTCAACACTAGCCATCACATAAGCTTCCTGAGAAGAAAAAAAAGCAGTGTGAAACACTCCCTTTGGTGTGGCAGCAATGTTTGGGGGCAGTATAAAGTAAGTTCCTTGGTCACGAGGTTGCTAACATACTATACGCAAATTCTGTGCCCTGCATCACATACAAAGTACTAGTATTTCCCACTCTGCGGACCAAATTTTTTCCACTCAGTAGCAGGTCTACATTTTGAACACTGAAACATCACTGAGACAAGGCTACTGGCACAGTAAGCAAACGAGGGACATAAAATCCTGGGGAAAAACTTGTGGACCTAGGAGTAATTAATAAATTCAACATCACCTGGAAGCTGATGGGATTTCATCATTTTGAACACCTAATTGCAAGGGCAACACATTCTGTGAGCATGTGTCATATGATTTTTTTCCTCCACAAACCTTTTCACAAAAGCTGACTGAAAATCTTTACTTTTGAGACCTCTGTCCTTGGGTCAGGGTTAGTACTACCCCAGAAAGTCAAAACTTGTCATGGAGGATGGGACTGACATTTTGACTTTTTAAGAGACAAGGCTTCTTTGACCACGTTGTTCTTGACTCCGTGTCAAACCAAACAGGTCAATAATCAGTTTAACCCTTTAGAAGTCTGAATACATCTTACTTGAGCAACACTGGTGAGAATACTGTCCCCAGTTGTTGGAAAAGCCACTTTAGACCCATGTACCAATGCAAGTGATACCAGGAAGGTACTTAAAACGTGGGAGCCTAAGCATAACAAACCCTTTAGTCAAATGGAATTCTGGGTTTGAGTTTCATAAATATGTGAAAAATTCTTCTTTCAAGACTGGCTTCACCCTATGTAGCTGTAGGTACCTTATCTAAGGTAACCAAGGTACCTCCTCTTCCTTTGCTCTTCTGTACGAAGGGAAAGGCCGCTTCTGAGTCTGGTGCAGTATGCTCCAGACACACTGATACATCCTTCAACATGGCCACAGGCTAAAAATCCCTGACTTCATTTTTTTTTGCATGCAAAAACTGCTTAAAGTTTTAAATTTGAGATCTGTATTTATACTGACATCCACTGTCAAGTGCAAGCTCAAAGAATGGATTCCAACGGGGGGGGAAATCAGAGCTGAAGTTGTGGGGTTTTTTTAAATTAACTTTGTGTCTGATTCACAGTATTTCAGTTCTAGACATTTTTAAAGCCATCTGATTGAAAACCAACACAATGGGAAATAAATGAGAAGTTTTCCATGAATTGAGCTTTTAGGTCAGCATCTTAACATCTGGAGTGACACCAACTCATCATCCCTTGGCAATTCAACACTAGGCTAGCAGGCCCCCCAGGGCCCAAAGCAGTAGTCAGGCCACTCTTGTGAAAAAGGAGAAAGGAGCAAATCTGCACTTTCTAAGAGCTTAAGAAATGAAATACCACAGCACTTTGCTCATCATCTAACAAGCCTTCCACAGATGTCACATAGCTGTGTAGCTGGTAAGAACTATCATTAAACAAAGTTATTAAAGCAATGACGTTCAAGAAATAAGCAACCCCAATCCTTAAGCAATACTTTCTGGCCTTGGTATTGTTGTTTGACGTGCCAGCCTAAGCAAAACACGACGTAATGTATTTTTCTTCTGAGGTGCTAATTCTGCATTTGCTATCCTTGTTTTAGAGCCTCTGGGATTGACGTGGTCTGCAAGCAGCCAGGTTAAAGGTTTGTGGCAGAACTGGATAAGGGCTCCTCAACCTATTGCAGGGTGTGAGCAGGGCACTGAAAAACAACCCTCTGTCAAGGCTAACACGGATTCCGTAGGCTAGCCTGAGGAAAGGTAGAGCAAGAACACAATGTTCTATTCAATTACATCGATATTTGTGGCCATGTTTTTTGGAGACCCAGGCAACTCCGCTATATGAGGCTCGGATGTAAGTAGAGACTGAAACATGCTAAATCTCCCTCGGCATCCAAACCGAGCAATCGGACTGATGAAGGGAATCTGTTCCTTGCCTTGCTTCCTGTTGGGATTCACATCCATATTGTATTCATTTCAGCAGGGTGGGAGAAAAAAATCTGCAGAGTCGGAGCTGTTCTCACTGCCCATCTGCCGCGCAGCCCGCGCGGGGCTGACCTGGGGGCTGAGAACCGGGATGCTGACAGAGCGGGGTGGGCGTACGGGCCACACAGCTTTCGGAGAGCATCCAAGCCTTGACACTGCCTGTTACATTTGATACGGCAAAGCAAAATAGGCCACCGCCTCCTCGCAGGGAGCAGAAGGGAGCTATTGTGCGGTTGTGGGTCCCTGTAAGTAGCCCAAGACATTAAAGGGGCCCTTTGTTTCAACTGTTTATCTTGGAAATCTCTGCGGTACGCTCTGACCTGCTCCAAGTATGCTTGGTATTCAACAACAATCTTCTGAATTAGCCCTACCCTAATAAAGCCAACGACAGCTCGCCTGGATTATACGAGCTAAAGCGGCTGTGCTCGTTCTATACCCTGCGTGTTTCTGTAAGACAAATCACCTTTAATTGGGCATTATTATCTCTGAGGTTTCGGTGACCTTGAAAAGTGGGTTGTGTAGCAAAAATCTGTTTTGGGAGGAGCTTTTGGAGTCACCCCTCTGACTTCTTTCACTGGTTTTGTATTTTTTGATTTTTTCCTCAGAAATACAGTATGACTTCCACCAACCAAATGATACGAAAAATGAACAGGACTGAAAAAAGCAAGAACTTCTTGTTCAGCATCCTAATTCAATGGAAAAGAAAAGGTAATGTGGAAATATGATACAGAAACTTCTTTGAAAAGAGAAAGTACTTTGATACCACCAAAGAGTGCACAGTCCCTGCATCTACTGCTCCATCCTGTGAATACCTTGATCTGCTGGAGGCAGGATGCAGTACTGTAGGCTTATTCATTAACCCTTCCTTCAGTATACAGGAATTCAATGCAGTTGAGTACAAAGCATCCTTTGCAATGACTGTGATATGCTTGTTATCACTGTGAAGAGGGAAGAGCTCAGGGAAGGCAGCTGAGCAGCATCTTTGCCAGCTCCTCGATGTGGGGAAGGCCAGCGAAGGGCATGACTGCAGCCTGCCCGCAGGCAGGCAAGGAGCAAGGACCAGGGACACAGGGGCTGGGAGCCTGGGGAAGGGCTGAGACTGGCCTGGAGTGTAACTAAATTAAAATCAGGATGGATATTGCTTCATGTATGGATTCTGAGATGGGCCATCTATTCTTTTGCATGGCTGCAATACACGTATCGAATCATACGGTGCATAACACATGATCTGTTGAAGTAATGTATTGGAATAACACTGGTTATTCAGGGTGAGTGGAAAAATCCAGTGTGCTTTATCATCAGTAGCACAGGTGGGTTTGTTCACAGCCATCATCCTGACACTTCTCACTAGAGATGTTGTGGATGCCCCATCCCTGGGAGTGTCCAAGGCCAGGCTGGATGAGGCTTGGAGCAACCTGGTCTAGTGGAAGGTGTCCCTGCCCATGGCAGGGGGGTGGAACTGGATGATCTTTAAGGTCCCTTCCAACCCAAACCATTATGTGATTCTATGAATCTATGACTATGAGACTTGGCCTTTTGTTAAGCTCTTTGTCAGCTGGAACCATTTGGGATGAGCCTTCCTACCTGAGGTGTCATTTGCTGTCCAAAGCCCGATGATTTAATTTTTTTAAAAATAAATTGGCTCAGTCCCTACCAAAATAATAAAACCCCACAGTCTTCTCCACGGCTGAAGGACTATCACTTCCACGCAAAGAGGCTGTCCCAAGCTGCTGACCTGCACTTCACAGGTCCATTTGGGACATACCAGGGACCTGTCCCTGCAAACCAGCACTCAGTACATGAGCCCCTGCCAAACCCAGGCTTCCAGCCTACGCCGGCCAGAGGCCCACTCGTGTGGGTATAGCAGGAGAAGCGTAAAGACTTCATCTGTACCAAACACACTGTGTTGCCTGGGGAGTCCCTGGGCTGACCAGTCCTCTCCAGAGTGACCCAGCAGGCTCCAGCTCAGGGCTCGAAGGGCTGAACAGGACAGACACATACACACATGAAACATGTTTCTTGTCACTGAGGACTGAACCACAGCACAGGAAAGCTGAACTGAACGTACACTGAGCGCTCCTTTCCGCACTCAGCATTTTCCTTTCCTTGTATATAAATACCTATCCATGGTGCTTTCTGTTGTATGGCTTCAGACAGAGCAACAGAGCTCAGATTTGTAGCTATTCCAAGATCAGGGAACTTTGTATTTAGGACTCCGGCTCACCGTTTGTAAACTCGCACATTTATAAACTCCTGAAACAGTATCTTACAGCTTTTTTTCCCATTTTCTGAAGTGATGAGCAAGCAAAGTGAATAAAATTCCCATGCCTCTTTCAAGAAGCGAGGTAATTTCTTGCTGTTTATGGCAGAGGAATCAGACAGCTGGGGTATTTTTTTCTTTTGGATTTATAGTTAATTTAATCCTATGTAACCAAGGAACTAGCTTATGACAATCTGCAATGTCAGGATTGAAAAATCATTAGATATGTTGTTACTGGTTTTAGTTCCACTGCCATAATGGCACTGAAAGCCACAGCTTAAGGCCTGAAACATCAGAATAAAGAAAACAGAATTAGCTATATGGTCCTGACCTCTCCTTAGGTGCTACCCCACAAGTATAACATCAGTATTTGGACTGCCAGCAAGGGATTTATAGGAGACTCAAAAGAACTTCACAGACTGGGCTGCAAAGCCCAGTACTTCTAGATGGAAAACAGTTCGGGGTGCAAAATGTTTCCTCCCACCTAAAATCCTGAAATCCCTTTAGTTGTTACAGAGAAGAAGACACAGACCACCGACAACTCGAGAAAACAAACATGATAAAACTTACATCAAGTATTTCCTTGTTGGCTTTTGGTGACGTAGCCTCTCTCAACTCTTTGATAGCGACAGGAATTTTAACCTTCTCCCCTTCTGGGATCCAAAGTCCCTACCAAAAAGAAGTACAAAGAGTTACTCAGTCTCGTATCTAACAGGTTAATTCTCACAATTAAATATTCATTTTATGTCTTCTGAGTAGCCTTGAATATTCAGAGCAGTGGGAAGACATGGCAGACAACAAAAATGTGCAAACCAGTGTCTTGTGGGCGTTAACAAAATCCTGTTAATGGAGTGAGTGGTATTTCTCTTTCAGTCACCTCTACCACATGTTTTTGAAAAACCATGTTCATTACCATCCCTGTATAAATAGCCCAAGAGATGCATAAAGAACAATTTCTGCAGATAGAAATATAATTAATCAGCACATCACAGCAACTGCATGTGCAAAAACCATGCCACTTCCAATTTATAAATCACGGGAAGAAAAGAATTGGCATTTTCTCATGAAAACCAGATGGCATCTATACCGTACAAATAATCCAGTACTAAAAATATGTAGCATCAGGTAAGTGTATGTCCAACTGGTGCAATGTTCGACGTCTGTAGTGTCAGGGGGCCTTTATGGCGGCAGGTGGACAGCGTGGCACTGCAAGGACACCCTGCTGAAGTACCCAGCAATACGGGTGCACATTTTCAGAGGTCCATGGGATTTGTGTCCCTCAAGTTCCTAGCCATAACTGGGAGCCTTATTCGGAACACAGAGCATTTTATAAGGCGATACATGAATCTACAGTTTATATTTCAGTACTGCTGGCAAGACCTGAAATACATATGCTGAATAAAAGAAGGAGAAATAGAAAAGTGGAGCTTGGTGAAGAAGAAATGTAGAGTATAAACAAACACCAAGAGAAAAAAGACCTCATGGACCTACACAAGGTGTGTAGACGCTTCCACACATCTAAGTCAGTTCTCAAGAAAGAGCCCCTGACAGTTATAAAAACAAGACCCCAGACCACACAGAAAAATGGCTTAGCACTGAGTTGACCAAAGTGCATTTCCTTTTTTCCTAATATTCACAACGGGTTATTTGGCCGTGGCAGTTTTTAACTGGAGATCTTTGTCCTCCAGGCTCAGCAGTATGGCTTTGGCAACAGCTTAAGTAGAATTTCCCATCTTACACGATTCATCACCCAACCAATGATGGTTGAGTCATCTCTCTACCATTCAATATGCTATAAAATCTATTACAAAAAATTAATCTACACAATGATTTCAGCTCCCAGTTCATGCTTTGGGTGGCTTCTGCATGAGGGAGCAAAGGCAAAGAAAAACACGGTGATCTTACCTTATAAACAGTGCCAAAAGCTCCAGAGCCTAAAACTTTGACCTTTTTAAATTCGGTTTCCTTTAAAATTCTCAGATGAGCCTGGTTTGGTGCCTCCCCACTGGGTGTCAGTGGCTCGACAAGCTGGTGCAGAGAGAAGATGACGTTAGAAAGATGTACAGCCCAGGACAGCAAGCAGCACGCTTTGGGAAAGGAAACAAATCCTTCCTTTCAAATAACGAACATTTTATTCCATGTGAAGCTTACAGGAGGACAACTCTACTGTGACTTGCAGCAATAAATATCTAGAATTGCTCCAAATTTCAGGGGTAAAATCAACCACAGAGCGGTGACTGTCATTTTGAAGGAGAATGAAGGAATTCTGCTTTTCAGAATGAAGGCTTTGACTTCAAAGCCTTAAAACACATGCCATGAAGAGCAACGCAATTACCACAGAACCTAAAGAAGATTTTCTTTTTTTTCTAAACTTGCATATAAATTATAAAAATGTTTTAAACAATGGGCAAGAATCACCTGCAAACTTTCAGGTCTGCTCTTGTTTAACTGGATGAAATTCCCATGGTACCAGTGGCTACCCAGACTGCAAGGTTTGCAAATGGCAATTGAAACTCTCAGAGCGATTGTTTTCTCAGTGAAAACGAAGCTGTTGAATTGACCAGTGTTTTCAAAATCTGATCCAAGCCTTAATGCAAACAGCACTAATGCCCTCCAAACAGAGATATTTAACACTTTTTTGATGCGTAAATCCACTTTTTCCCTCAGTGGGGAAAATTAAGCTATTTTCTTTTTCCTAACCTTTGAATAAAACCATATTTAGCTGGATGCAATCTGATTTTAATGGGCCAGCAACCTTTCTGTTGTGATGAAATACCCTCATTTTGAGGAGTCCGGAGGGTACAACATGAGCTGAGCATAAACTGAACTCTACCATCAAACTGTGTCCGGAGGGTACAACATGAGCTGAGCTCTACCATCAAACTGTAGAATACAGTGGTATGTAACTATTGTAAGGTAGTGCACTAAAAAGCAGGACAGCTTTTTTTTAAAGGATTTTAGCAGCTGACTCTGCAAAGCCAGTGAGCACAGAAGAAAGCTGCAACTGGGCTTTTAGCGGAATGCTACATACAGTTTGCTAATTATTTACTAGGATTGGACTAGAAAACGAAGGGGGTTAATCACAAAAAAGCAGTACTAATCCAGGATAATGAATTTTGCTATTTTATATGTGAGATACCCAGAGGGTGATGCTGTAACACAGGCGAAACCATGCAGAAAACAAAACACAGTGCAGAAACCTTGTTCATGCCCAACAAGGTGAACCATTCACTTTGATGGCTTTGTGTTTGGGTTTTTTTGTGCTAAAAACAAACCAAAGACAAGACACAAACACTTCCTCAATTCCTTTCCCTCCTTTCCTTTCTCTCTCATTTTTTATCACGGGATCAGACGTACAGCTGATCAAGGGGGTAAAATCTTCAAAAGCACCCAAGTTGCCGCAGCAGCCTCAAGGCTTGTCTGGGGGTAGAAACGATTTGAGGTCGAGGGTCTGCACAGCAAGGTGGCAAGGATCAGCAAACACACTGCACTTCGCCCTGAAGGTGTATTTTTTTTCCCAGTAGAACGTGTAGTTTTTTCTGAGTAGACAATCTCAATGATTTTCACTGGGATTAAGACATCTAAATCCCCTAAAGCTTTTGAAAATTATATCCAGAGGGATCAGACTTGAGATTAAGCAGGAAGGCGTTAGGTGCAGGGCGGCTGTTTTCCAACTAGCGCGGCAGACGCCGTGTTTGCCAACCCAAGGGCTCGTTGAGTTCTCCGGTATGAGGAGGCCAGCACCCACTGCCCCCGACAAAGCAGCCGGTGCTGCCACCGTGACGGTGATGCTCACCTCCCTCTCCTGCAGCAGCCGGCGCAGGGTCCGCTTTCGGACAATGTGGCGCCTCCGCAAATAAAGGCCGATGCCCAAACTGACCACCACCAGGCACAGGAGACCTCCGACAACGCCAGCTGCGATGGACGGGATTTTGGAGCTGCAAGACAGCAGGGGATGAAGAAAGAGAAAAAAATGCTGAGGTGTAAGATTTAAAAAAGATCCCTACAGAGGCTGCATGAAGCCTTAGGTTTTGACCAAACACAAACTATGGACATCCACTTAAGCCTGTCTGACATTTCAGATCTCTTGGGCATCTGGAATTTTAAGTTGCTCATCCAGTAACCTGCTCAAAGTCATCACTCTTCTCTCAAACTTGCAACTGGAGCTGATCCTTGTAGCTTAAGCGAGGGGATTTCTCCTCCCTCCAACAAACTCACCAAGCACATGAGCACCAAATCTATGATGACTATATATGCCAGATGCGGGCAGCCCGCATGTGATGAGATACGTGAAGCACGTGGAGAGAAGGTGACATCAAGACGCAGTTGTGGTTCCAGCAATGAAGCTGGCATCTCACCATCGCTGGCGGGGCCGTGCTGTAAGCGTCACGATGAACTGCAGATCATCGGCCCTCCTCCCCAAGTAAAAATGTCTGAGGCCAGGTAACGTGTGAAACATCCACGTTGTACATACAGATTGCTGCCTCCTCATTAGAGCCTGAGTCATTTCAAATTTAAGTTGAAAAGAAAAACCTGTTTTCCGAAGTTGTTTTTTGGTCTGTGCTTAGAGATCCATCGCAGCTCTTTCTAAGTTGCCCCAGGGATTACTATTAAATAGAGTCACTTTTTAACGGTACTTCTACGCTGAATTTGTTCTGCCATAGTATGACTTTGTGGTCAGAAACTAAATCCCTCTCTCTTAGTCAGAGAAGCCTGTTTGCTTGCTTCATGACTTTGAGCAAGCCAAGAGACCAAAGAGTACAACTTAAGATCTAGCGTGAAGAATGAACGTTGGAGATGTACAGAGCTGGAAAATACCCCCTGGACCTCCGAGATGAATCCCCTGTAATGCAGGTAACCATATCAATTCTAAACATTTCTTTCTCTGCCACTATACCGTAGCGCTTTCTTTTTCCAGCTCCTCCTTTTGTTCTCCAGTAAAAGAACCCAGGTCTCACCATCACAGACAAGCTGAGAAGAACAAGGTTTTGGAGTCTTGTGCCAGTAGGAATATTTCTCAGTTCTTTAAATAATTTTTATAGGTCAGAGCCTGCTCTAATCTGCCACTTCCCTGTACAGAGCTGAAGATTTAATTTTAGCCCCAGCCTTGCAGTGTCCAGCGTGGAAATGTAAACACACATACATTCTTTCCAGCTCTGTCGTTAATTGTAGCAGATTAAATACTCACCCGTTTGGACAGCCTTCAAGACCTGGCCCTTTGCACCTGTGAAAACAAATGAACATTACAAACAAATTAGCTCTGGCATACATGCTTCTGTAATTCCAACTAAGAAGAGTGCTACCGATGGAGAAGTTTGTGTTTCAGAGCAGTCCAAGTATTAACACAGGAATTCACAATAGTCACACACTCTATTAAGTATCAGTCAATGGCCTTGCTCCAAAAACTTATCTCTAAAGGCAGAGTTATGCTGCATACTCAGTTTAAAGAATATTTTAAACCAACTTGCTGTCATGTGGCAGAATGTAGGGGGAGGACAGAGATTCACAAAATTCAAACGGCCCTGGATCCCCTGGCTCTGCGTGGGCATCTGCCTTAGCGCAGAAGCTCAGGCCTGGCTGTGGGGGAGGACAGAAGTAACCTCTCCCCTGAACAAGGGCAGAAAGTCACAGGAAACGTGTCACTGCAGACCCCCCTGCATAATCCTTGTTTCCTGATAAGTAAAAGATTCCAATTTCCATACTTTCTATTGCAATGGAAAACTTGGGCAACAGATACATGCTCCCACCAGGAAACAGGATTTGACAGCACTCCCTTCAGCTATAGTCTGTTGGTACGTGTCCACGATATTCTTCTTTCAGAATCTACGGTCTTACGTTACTGGTAATCTAAACAGGTACAACAGCTCTCCAGAGAGCCAGAAACTCTACTAGCAAGTCCTTCACCCTCCATTTGAGTTTGAAATGCCCGAAATTCATTTTGGCAGCCCAATGCAAAAAAACAGCACAGATGAAATGACAGTGCCTGCATTCACTTGATGGTCTAATGAGTGTTGAGAGGCACCGTGCATTCCCTAAGTGCTGCTGGGATACAAGATGTATGCTCTTCACGAGAACTGTGGTCGTTGTGGTGTCTACCGAGGAAGGAGATCATTACAGAGAGGGTTACATCACCTCTGAAAAACAGCACGGAGAAAAGTCCGGTTTGTGGTATCCACTCCCTGCGCTGACTTCAAGAAAATGGATCATCCCAAAACAACTCCGGAGGAGGTCAAGTAGGGGGTAATGAGTGAGCCTGTGCCAGGAAAACTGCTCTGGATTTCCTCTCAGAGAAGAGGAACCAGAAAATTTCAAAATGGCAGGTGGATTTGGCAGATCTTATCTCATAGCTTGATCTAGGTGTGGGGGAGGAAGAGGTGAAGTAACTACTAATTTCATTGGGTTTTTGTTTGTTTGTTTTTGTTACTCTGATCTTCCCTCGTGTATTTGCCTTGTTTCTGGGCCAACACAGAGCTCCAAGACCCAGCATCTGGAAGGTCTTCTGAGTTCACTGGGCTCCCATGCAAGAATGTGCATGCCGGTGTCCTGGACGCACTGGAAGTGTTGCGGATAGTGGTTCCCGGATGCGGGGCGCACAGCTTTGTTAGTGTTCCTGTCTGCCTACGGCTGGGTTTGTTTGCTCACTTGTGTAAAGAAGCACAGAGAGGCTGCATGTGCAGAGCAGAAGCACCCGCTTGCCTATGGCCACAGGAGATACACCTCACTTTGCACTGGGCTTCTCTTGAGGTGCTCAACAGAAGGCGGATCTAGGACCCAAGACCTCATCCTATCACACCCAGATCTGAATTTCTGTACGCTAATGTAAAAAAGCACGTGCAGCTTCTCCTGATAAAGATGTGAAACTGAAAGACCTCACATTATTTCAGAAATTGACTGTGGTCCCTCAAACTGAATCTTCCTAAAATTACCGATTTGTCATGCTACTTTACGATGGCAAATCCTCCATGAACTTCCTAACAGGAAAATAAATTGGGTGAGGGGATAGTATTTACAGTCAAAGGAATGACCAACCAGTTATTTTCCTACACCAGAAAGTAGAAGCAGGAGACATATAGATTTTTATCTGTCTCCTTCTTTTAAAAATTTATTTCTCACACAAATCCATCAGTATCAAGTCTAGTGGGATAAAGTATAAAGGTGTTTGGGAAGAAATTGATGGATCCGCTTATGCTTTTCCAGTCCCATGTGATTTTCTGATTCATTTCACAAGTCAAAGGAGAAACAAAGCCTGTGACAAATATCCAGCCAGGACCAAACATAACCATCTTTCTTAATGTGGAATTTTATGATGACACCCAACATAAGTAACACAGGTTTTATGGAATCTAAACAATCACTTTTTCCATTCCTCCATCGTTTTTCTTCTGCTTACAGAAACCCAAATGAGAAATGTGACCTTGTGTTATGCACTGCCTCAAGATCTTATGGATAAGCCAGATGGAATCTAGCAGCAGTTGGAGTAGTCTCTGAAATATTTCTCTACTTACTGGAAAATTAGTGCTGTGTACAGTCCCCAAAAACTACTGCATCCTGAACTCAGCCTTTAGTCTGTCTACATAACTATTACTCGTCCCAGTGCAGACACAGCTATTAATTTCCCCAAACCATCAAGATTTTAACAACTTTCTCCTCAACCTATAGCTCCTAATTTGATGTAATATGGCCAGGTTGCTATGATTTATGGCCTTTCAGAGGGAACTCATGCTGTAACACTGTAAGTTACTTACGGTCATAAAAGAAATGGGAAACCATTGGGCTTTTTAAAACCTTACCAGAACTTTCCTCTGCCCTTCCTTTCTCATTAACCTTCAGAGTGTGACAAAGGCATCACGTTTGCGCTGTGCTGCTGCAATCTCCCCCTGGCCACTTTCTCACACACCCTCCCCCCAAATTCCCCTGGCATTTAACATTAAGACTGGTGAGACACGTAGTGTTGGTAGCGACTGTGGCGGCAGGACGTGTCAACCAGTGCTATCAGCTACAGTTGTGGCTTCTGTTCTTCTTGCTCTTCCACTCCACTGTGGGTGAATTTAATTCCTGTGCTTTGGGAGAGTGGCAAGGGAAAACCAAATCCTTAATGCTGAGCAGATTAACCAAGCTAATGTCTTTCATTAGTTGCTGGAGGTATAAACGGGGTAATTCCATGGCTTTTGAGATGTCTCTGTCTTTACTGGAGTGTGTTTTCTCAGCTGTACTGCAGGCAAAAGGAAGGTAGTGTACAAAATAACCAAGCAGCTACAGGGAAAATGGGAGAGGTCTTTTGGGCTGAGCAGGAGAAAGCTCAGCCCTTCTGTTTTCTAATGAAGGCTGAACAAATGACTCAACAAAGAAAATTAGACTAGATGAGATTCTTGACAGTGGTACAAAGGAAGCAATGCACTGCCAGTAAGCACACCTGAAGTAAAAAACCAAAATTCATGACAAAGCTCAGCTGGGAAGAGCAGTCTTCTTCACCTGCAGCTTCTTCCAATAAGGAAAATAGAGCCAGACCCTGGAAACCCTTACTTACACGACAACTGAAGTCAGCACACTTAATCATACTGATAAGATTTTGTGAGCTCTAGCTGTGAAATTGGACAGGGACAGAAATAAAGTTGTTGTTACTTGTCACGCAGAAATCGCTGAGACTGTGGTTTCTAAGGATGCAAAACCTCTGCGAGACAGATGTTTTCCACCCACTGCTGAAGAGATCCCAGTCTTGCAGCCCAACGAGGGACAGGTGTGAAGAGCGTAAGTGGCGTTACTGATTGATTGCCTTCACAGGGAAAACGCTGCGCCAGATCGCACGTTCCCAGATTATGGCTCCGACACTGGCTCCCTACCCATCAATGCCATTAGCCTCAGATGTCCCATCTGCAAAGCAAAACAGTAACACTACCTTCTCTTAGCTCTCTTGAGCCCTTCAGGGATACAGCCTATTTCTTCTGCTGCATTTGGGCAGCAGCTCGAACGGGATACTGAGCATGTCCACAATTTAACTGTGGCAAACTTAGCCTGGTTCTTTCACCTAGGGGATGAAATCAATCCTGCTTTTTATGTTCTGCCTTCACAACACAGATCCAAACACATTGAGCCATATGCTGGGTATCTCTGATTTTCAAAAACCTCTCCTTACTCTACCCCCAACACCCGCCAGACTCCTGTGCTATACCCATCCACCTGCTAAAGCCAGGCAGGAATGGATTTTGACAAACTCTGCTCTGGGCACTTGCTTGTGCACAGCGAGCCACTGCCTGGCTGGCAGCTCCATCCGTGGCTGGCAGGTTATGTTCTCCAAGTCTGCATTCATTCGGGTCCAGCGTGTGATCTCGCGACCAAGGCCGCACTGCCGAAAGCCTTGTTCAGATGTGGTTACCCGTTATCCTGCGCCAATAATCAGCCACATTTTCCTGTGGCCGGTCAGAAGAAGGATGTTGGACCCTCGCGGCCAGTTTGTATCAGTAGGGACTCCTGAGGTCATTAATAAGGAGCAAAGTTATTTTAAGATCCCTTTTCAACTGAGATCATTTGTTCTCAGGCGTGTGATGAGAAGCCCTGATAAGCCTTGCCTGCACCTGGGACAAAACACAGGCGGCATCGCCGTAAATCATGGCAAACCCACATGGCTGATGCAGCTCCCATCCGAAAACCAGAGCGCTGAATTTGCTGTGAGCGCTCAAAGGGCTGTTTTAACACTTCACCTCCTTTTCTCCATGAAGGTGGGAGCCTGGGCACTCCGATCTTTAATCAACTGGCAGATGAATTCGCTAAACAAACAATGGGGTAAGGCTTGGCCTGGATGTAGTTGGAGGCCAGCGTTACAGCTTCTCTCTTGTAACACATATTACAGAAGGATTTGGGATCTGGCAAACCTGCAGGGTACTGCAGGGAAAAAATACTAAACGTAGGTCATATTTTTTTCTCTGAAAGCGTCACAGTCAAACGACCAAGTCTCAAAGCTTAAAACCTCTTACTGCGCATCCCGTGTCCTTTGCAGGTCAGAAGCCAGGACAGGGGACAGCTGCAGCCCAGTTACTTATTGTCATGTAGGTTAAATGCAGTTGAATTCCCAGCTCATCATAGGTGGTGGTTTAAGTGTGCCCCCAAATGAGGACAAAAACGGTTCATGCGGATTGAGTTGACTGTGACAATCAACAAAGCCACCCTCATGAGGCAAGCAAGGCTTGAAACTCAGGCCAACTGCTAACAT